CATGGAACGGCAAGGTTGTTCTTAAATCTCGTGTTAAAGTTATGGGTTTAACTTTTTTTTGCAAATTCATCATAGTTTTTTCTTACATAAATTAAATTTTCATAAATGTATTGCGACGCCAGTGTTAAAATATTAATTTCTTTAAATTTTTCTCTAAGGGATTCTCTTGCCTTTAAATTGTATATGGCGCGAACAGCTCTCTTTTGCAGTATGAAAATACTTTCGATATTAGCGGCTGAGCCCCACAACAAAAGGCCATATGACATAACACTATGAAAGTAACCAAAGTAAACTAATCTTGCCGTTTCCACATCAGTTAAGAGTCTTATTTTTTTAACAGCGAAAGCTGCAGAGCTCAATCTACTTGACAAGGCATCAATATGAGGATCCCATTGCAGACGAGAGTCTAAAGTAATACCCAGAAACTTTGTAGAATCCACTAACTCTACAGGCTGGTCATTTATTTTTATACTAGTATTAACCTGCCTCACATTAGGTAGAGTAAACTTAACGCATTTTGTTTTACTGGACTTAAGTTTTAAATTATTTACCGTAAACCAGTGAAGGACTTCAGAGAGAGCACAATTTACTTCGCCATAACAATCATTTCCTCTTCTAGCTTTAAACAATAAAGAGGTGTCATCAGCAAATAGTACTGTCTCACACAAATCTCTTGTAAAGTGAGGAAGGTCATTAATATAAATAAGGAAAAGCAATGGGCCCATTATTGAACCCTGGGGCACGCCCATAGAAATGGTTGCTCCTGTAGACTCAGCTTCATTTATAACTAGTTTCTGAATCCTAGCAGAAAGATAAGACTGTATCAGACTTAGTGAAATATTTGATACACCATAATGCTTCATTTTATTTAACAATGTTTCATGGCTAACGCAGTCAAACGCCTCTGATAAGTCGCAAAAAATGCCAATAGCATCGTGCTTACTCTCCCATATATCAAAGATGTGTTTGAGAAGTGCAGTTCCAGCATCAGTAGTACTTTTGCCTCTAGTGAAACCAAACTGTTTTAAATGAAATAGCAGAACATCCAGCAGTTTTAAACATCCGCTTGCGAATTCCAACCATCTACTGTTTCTAAGTGAGTAGAGGGGTTGGATCTGAGGTTAGGGGATGATTGTAGAATACTCTTAACTGCGTTTTTGGCGAGCAACTAATTAGCAACTAAATATCCCGCCGCTTTTTTCCACCTACGAGATTTTTCCGATATCGTCCTATTCTGGGGTGGTTGCAGGGATGATCTGGAGTTAAGGGTTGGTAGTTAAATACTATAAGCAACGCTTTTTCGCAGCAACTAATTAGCAACAAAATATCCAGCAGTTTTAAACGTCTGCGTTTGAATTCGAACCATCTACTATTTTTAAGTGAGTAGAGGGGATGGATCTGAGGTTAGGGGATGATTATAGAATACTCTTAATTGTGTTTTTGGCGAGCAACTAATTAGCAACAAAATATCCAGCAGTTTCAAACATCTGCGTGCGAATTCGAACCATCTACTATTTTTAAGTGAGTAGAGGGGTTGGATCTGAGGTTAGGGGATGATTGTAGAATACTCTTAACTGCGTTTTTGGTGAGCAACTAATTAGCAACTAAATATGCCGCGTCTATTTTCCACCTACGAGAATTTTCCGATATCGTTCTATTCTGGGGTGGTTGCAGGGATGATCTGGAGTTAAGGGTTGATAATCAAATATTATAAGCAACGCTATTTTTCAGCAACTAATTAACAACAAAACATCCAGCAGTCTTATACAACTGCGTGCGAATTTTAACCATCTACTGTTTCTAAGTGAGTAGAGGGATTGCATCTGAGGTTAGGGGATGATTGTAGAATACTCTTAACTGCGTTTTTGGCAAACAACTAATTAGCAACTAAATATGCCGCGTCTTTTTCCACCTACGAGAATTTTCCGATATCGTCCTATTCGGGGGTGGTTGCAGTGCTGATTTGGAGTTAAGGGTTGATAGTTAAATACTATAAGCAACGCTATTTTGCAGCAACTAATTAGCAACGAAATACGCCGTAGTTTATATTCTCTTTTTAATTTTATCGTATTTCGGGGGTAGTGTGGGTGCTGGTGCGGCAATTAAGGGATGATGGGGAGATAAAACAAATAATGCTGTCCTACAGCAACTAATTAGCAACTAAATATGCCGTTTGCAGAACTTCGATATCTTTACGAGAACCGAAGATATAGTATTGTGGTCTGCTAGGTTAAGACTTAAGCTAGCAGATCACATGTATGTTTTACAGGTGTTGAGCAACTAAATCGGGAATAGTGTAACTAATTAGCAACTAAATATGCCGTTTGCAGAACTTCGATATCTTTACGAGAACCGAAGATACAGTATTGTGGTCTGCTAGGTTAAGACTTAAGCTAGCAGATCGCATGTATCTTTTACAGATGTTGAGCAACTAAATCGGGAATAGTGTAACTAATTAGCAACTAAATACCCAGTAGGTTAGATGTGCGCGTTGCGACCATGGTCTGCTAGCTTAATATACGTGTCGCGTCGTGTGCTTTGTGTACGCGGCGCGGGCAGACGCGGTCTTTATTGCTTCGCGGACAAAATGCCCGCCCCGCCCCGTCGTCTGCTCAGCGCCTTAGCCCAAGCAATAGAGTAAAACCAAATAACAAAATTTTATCACACTCTAGTTATTTTACATATGTTAGGGTAGGTCTTATGAAGCTTAAGGTTAAAAATCGGGGAATGGTTGGTCACAACTGGCCACCATATTGGAAAACGCGTTTATCGCTATATCTCTGAAATTACTGACTTTACGGAAAAAAATAGTTTTGTTTATTACTAAATTCCCCAACTTTTTTGTCTAAAACTTTTTATTGTAACCTTTACCGCTTTCAATTTTGTTGTTAATTGAACATGTTTGTAGTTTTTCCATTATAAAACCTTAAAAATGCCATTAATCGATAAAACACGTCGAATAAAGTCATTAGACTCATCTTGTTAAAGGTGGTTTGAACAAAATAACTTTAAATAAAACTATAAATCTTTTGAAATAATAATATGATTTATTTTTGGAATATCTTAATTTTATCAATAATTTATAGATATCTAAATCTTATAATGTACACACCAATTTACGATTATCTAGTGCCCTTATTTTAGTAAAAACTATAATTAATTTAGAATTTAGTAAATAGAAACAATCTAACAAACAGAAGATACCGAGACAATGCATCCTTTTCATATCAATGTACTTATATACAATTTTGAGAATATAAATGCATTTTAATACAATAAAATACGAAACGCTATATTAAAAAAATAATTTTTCAAAATGGCTATTCTGGAATTGTAACAGTCTGCTTATTTTAGCATTGAGTTCAATAAAGAGAAAACCTAATGTCCTACTATAAATTTTAAATACCGGCTGCAAGTGGATACTTGAGGTCTACAATAGTTTTTATTCACCATCATTATTATTCCTTTATTACTGATATATGCTATTTCTAGTTGACTTTAAGGCTATAATGTCATGAACTTGATCTGAATAACTGGTGGAAACACTATATAAACTAATGAGATCAAGTGCAAGCTATTATATCTCATAAAGTAGCAACGACTGTATCCTCTGATTACAATAAATTTGTATTTTATCCAAGAATTATAGTGTACAAGAAAAGCATTGTCTCCGCACCTCATAAGCATAATATTATTACCCCAGATTTGAAAATCTAATTAAAATCTGCAATGGACTAATAAACTAGTTTTACAAAAATAAAGTGACATTAAGGTATAGGGTATTTTAGGCCATTTTGAAACTACTCACGGAATCTTATGTTGTACGTCTATACGAGTAAAGCAGTGACATCAAGCAACTGTCTTAAATACTCAATGGTATCAATTCTGGCATGATTCTCTAAATTTAAATAGATAAACATCAATCTCTCTTTTTCATTCAGTATACAGAATGAGTAGGATACTCTGTTGTCAAATTTAAATTTAGGTTTAGAGAATGCCATAATCGCAACCGATGCCAAGTTAAGACTAAACCGTCCCTAAAATAACATCAAGATATAATTATTTCTACATATCATTATTCTTTATTAATATACAAATAACTTTATACGAAATCATTGCAGTAGCCATAAATCATCTACTGAAGCATTTTTAGCTGTAGATTTATTATAGACTCCTTTTATAAGGTTCTCCTCCGAAACACTATCACTCTGTTGCAAACTTTCAAAATAAATATTATCGTTTTATATACAAATAACGGACAGTAGATTGACACTTGAATTGAAAACTGTTGATCTTTTGTATTAAGTTCAATTTTCTTTCATTTTACATTTAGTAGAAATCTGATAGGCTGTATAGTAACACCGAAAAGTCTTAAGGCTACTGCACATACCAATGGCATAAGGCACCATTATATGGTATATGGATTTCTGTTCATTGTATACATTTGACACAACATAGTTTACTTTAATTATAGATACACGTACGATATTTCTGTTCTACTTTCTATTCTGTGATTTATTTTTAAGATCATCTGCGTACATAATGACTAATGAATTTTAAACTCAGATAAGTAAGCTGATTGACTTGTGTGGACGGTATGATGTCACATATTGGTTGGCATATATGTATGGTTGACATTGAGACAATACCACAAATTCAACAAAGCATAGTCAAGAGAAACAAGTGAAACTAACGCATGAACACAGAGATGCGAACACCTTCCCGTGGTCTGTGTAAATCGATGATTTCTGCCAACGTCAAACAACCTCTGTCTGTGGAAATGGCAGATTTCTGCCACGCAATATCTTAATACAAATATTAAGATATAGAATAGATAAATAGAAATAAATGCAGAAAATATTAAAGATTGATTTAAGACATAAATGAGAGGGTTATGACGGCTATTTTGCTTATCATAGACCACGGATTAAAATCAACGTCTTCTCCCGAGAATGCCAGAGATTTGTATACGCGTGCATCAATGTATTTGTGCGGTCTTTTCACCACGATATCTGACAATCTGTTTTAGAGAAATAATTTTAACAATTTATCTAAAATTTTAAGTTTTAGGAATGTGATTATTTTCTATGTGGTCATTAAAATTGCTATGTACACCATTTCAAACGTTTTATTGTTAAAATTACTTCAACCCAGAAATACACCAAAAGCGAAATAAAATATCAAAAGAGATACATAGTTAGATGACAAAAGATTATGGCCATAATGGAAATAGTAGTAAGTAGGATAGAAGAGGAATTACATTACTAGTGATTAATTAACATAAGAAAATAAAATCTTCAAACACAACGCAATGGCACAATGGTTACATTAGTCGACATAATCACATGTTTGGGCGAGACGATGATGGTGCCATTACTGTTCAGTTAACATTGAAAAGTAACCAGACATTATATATAAATTAACTAATAAAATAGGCACAGGTCATAACCACTCGGGTCTTTACATACGCAGTGCATTGCTAGTCACCTTATAACATCACAGCTAGAATACATTCAATAGGATTTCATCGGAAAAGAAATACAGTCAAAATTGCTTTATTTAAACCATTTTGAGGGTAGTTACAGAACCGAGAATCTGAAAATTTTGAGTAGATATGCGATTCTCGCACAACGGAAATGGATGTTTAAAAGTGTAATTATTTTTTTATTAAGAAGACAGAGGAATTGAAGAGAAACATTTAGATTAACATGTAAAAAATCAGTTTTAGCGATGTTAAGCCGAGCTTTTGAGCAGTCGGCTAGCGATCTGCATTATACTGCGTGTGCATAGACCCATAAGCACTCATTACACGAAACGACAGCATTTTAGTAACTCATTTTAATATGGAAATCAAATGAATGACGACTATAACACACTGGCAAGTACAGTAAAAGTTGTCAGTTTGAAACTTTCAGGCGATAAATGCTCGAACTTTATCTCGTTACTAGAAAGTAATAATATAAACTATATTTGACAGAGGTCAAGTCATAACCGCCTAAAAGAAGCACTTAAAAGTAAAAAAAGTACATATAGAACAGACCTAAAAGTTTGAATTTAGTTTTGTATGCTTGTCATATGTAAAATAAAGATATTGATTGATACATTGACTGCTGTAATTGATTTAGAGTTTACAGTGTCTAATATGAATATTTTACTTTAACTAAACACAACACAAAATACACATAGAAAAATGTCATATACTAAAAAAAATAAACACATTGAAAAAAAAAAACATGTTTCTAATTCATCAAATCGTCGCTAGTAAATTCTTATGATTTCAACGATTAAATTAAGTACTTTACATAACTTGAATTGACCCCTAGACGATCAACAAGATTATAATATTTCATAATATAAAATATGCCAATGGTAACTTGTAGATGGGTATGTTATGTACTAAATTTCGCACACAAGTTATTAAGCCGTATTTTCAAAATTACTATTTATCACATTAAATGCCAAAATAACTCGTAAATAGTTATGTTATAGTAACTTTTACGAAAAGCAAGCAAACCTAAGAGCGTATGTGTACAACGATTTTCTATCACAAATTCTTTAGGTTAAGTTCGCAAAAATACCATTTAAAGGAACTTTCTCAACATTTTACTAATGCCAAAAGTGCAGCTACTATGAGAATTGCAATAATTCCCGTCATAAAACTAATTATGATTTAATGCTCAAGCCACTCCGCAAGATTGAATTTTATGCTCGCTTCACTATAATTAAACAACGGTCAATAATTTAAGTGCGAAATGTAATGTACACAGTTACAGCCGCATTCAGAAACGTCAAATTAATTGAACACCTAATTGAGTCACATCTAGTCTCAATCTATTATTATCGCTAGGGATGAAACGATACCATCTAGGTATCGATACCTTTACTTGATACTGTATCGTTGATAAAGTATCGATGCCTACTGGGTATCGAATTAAAGGTATCGATACTTCCTTGTATCGATAAAGGACATTGTTTTGCGTCCATACATAGTATAGCCTAAGAACTAACAATAATGAAATATTATTTTCTAGGTTCGAAATCGCAAGTAAATGACTGTAAAAACCAAGATTATTGACGGACACTTCTGAGAACTTAAATTATTAGGAAAACTATATTTTTTGAGGTTATGTTTAATATTCAATGAAACATAGGTCTACCTACGAACTTAGTATAAAGTGAATAAATATTACAACTAATTCATTTTAGTGTGATTTTAAAGAATAACTATTAGGAAAAACTTGGTCAGGTAGGAATCATGAATAAAATAAAAACTGTAGTTTTGCTTCTTATTATTTATTGGCTATTTTTCACATAATTGTATCATATTGTATTTATTTTTTTAACACGTGTATATTATGTAAATATGCAGCGTGAATGTGTATCAGGTGCTCTTGAATAATTTGGCAGTATGATCCTCTCAGGATGTTGTGGCACAGGTTCACTAGCACTTGGTAATAAGGTCTTTGCACTTTGGTAACATCGATGGCATATTAGATAGCCGAAATAGTAATAGTTAAATTAAAGGAAAAACAATCGCAAATAAACACACACAACAGGTAATCCGAAACGAGAATTTTCCGTATATAAAAAGTACTCTTTGACGAGAATGCACGAATGCCACAGATTACTACGAATGCAAACTGCCTGCACCACAACCTCAGAGTATCGAGTTTATGCCGGCCCTTCACTTGACAACAGTTTGTCCTTGTCATGCTTAATAAGGAATGAAAAGGACAGACTGATGTCATGTTTTTAAATAGCAAATACGAATAGCCAAATGAACTGCCGGCATTAGGAATAAAGAGTATTTTGTTTGCAGCGCTGTCATAGATTATACACATAAAATGCTATTTATTGTCTCAGATTATTTATTAACTTTTTAATTTAGCTTACTTAACTGGAAGTGTCCGTCACAATCTAAATACTGATAATTATCGCAAAAATATACTAAGAATTATCATAAATGCCAAATTGGACCATTGTCCTTTGACCAACGATATTACAATTACAAATTCTGTCCCAGTTTTAATTTAACGAAAACAAAATGACGGCTCACGCCACGCGAGAACGAATGACTGACTGAATAAATTAGTATAAAATATAGAAGAAAAGATGCGTTCGCGAAACAAAAATTCCAACTGTACCATACCTTTGAGTAAATACTCTGCCTATGAGTGTTTTTGATACTTCTCAGTGAGTGACCGACCGTCACTCGGTTCTAAAGTATCGATGCCAAAAGTACTTGGTATCGAAAGAGAAGTATCGAGTAGTTACTTGTATTTACTCGTATCGTTTCATCCCTAGTTATCGCAAAAACAGTGACAGGATCAACTTTACTCAAACTTCGGTTTAAAAACTTTAAAGTTAATTGTCATCTCTGAAAGCGGTCGTTGTGTGTGTAAGTGTGGTGTCGTTTGAGTGAATGCTCGTGGTCGATGGTGGGAGATTCAGACGCGGGCGTGGTCACCGGCCGCGGGCAGCATCACCACTGTGGTGGCGGCGTTTGTGGTCTCTGTGGTGCCTGATGGCTGTACCGACAATTTTATAAATATGATTGAATCCGGCTCGAAGGACCAATTTAAAAAGTTCCTAAAAGGTTTATACGTTATGACGACCTCCGTGGCCAAGTGGTTTGTACGCCGGGTTTCATGGTGTCACCGACTCGAGAGGTCCCTGGTTCGAATCCCGGTGGGGGCAGATGTTTGTGTGATGAATACGAGCATTTGTACTTCAGTCATGGATGTTTAATATGTATATTTCTATATAAATATACTTATATATGTACTAAATACGTATGTAGTCTCTCTGTTACCCTAGTATCCCATAACACAAGCCTTACAGTGCTTACTTTGGGGCTTGACTAATTGGTGTGACTGTTGGAAATATTTATTTATTTATTTTATACGCCTAATATTGTAAATCTTGGTTGAAAAAATGCCTATTTAATGTTGTCGTCACAAAGTAAATGACAGAATCGCAACTTTAGTCAAACTCAAAAGTTAATTGACTCTTGAGTGCAGCCATTAGTTAGAAAGTATGGTGTGGTTTGATTGAATGTTGAGTGGTCACCAGCTGCGGGCAACATCACTACTATGGTGGCGGCACCTGTGCCCTCTGTAGTGCCTGATGGCTGTACCGACAATTTTTTTTTGCTTGAATATGACAAAAATCCGGCTCGAAGCACAAAGCCAGAAACTCCCTCCAAACTAATAATAAAAAGGGTTTTATGGCTAATATTGTTAAGTTTGATTAGGAAAGTGCAACACAACATAATATCTATTCTTATCGCAACGAAAGTGGGAGAATCGGCAATTATTTGCGCGCGATATCGTATATAATGTACACAGTTACAGTCGTACTCAGAAACGTTAAACTGCTCAATGCCCCAATAAATTTGTCTTCACGTTATTGCAAACACAAGATCAAGTGTTGTCAAATATGAAAATTATGTGACCTCTGAGTGCAGCCATTAGTAAGTGTGGTATGGTGATTAGTGTCGTTTGCGTAAATGCTTGTGGTCGGTGGAGGGAGATTCAGACGCGGGCGTGGTCACCGGCCGCGGACATTATCACCACTGTGGTGGGGGCGGCGGCTGTGCTCTCTGTAGTCGGCTGGCTGACATTTAATTTTTTTATTATTTCAAGGAGGTAATGACCTGAAACTACTGTTAGAATATGCTGGAGCTGTTGAGCAATTGGCTGTAGTTTACAGAGGCTATCAGTGGTTGGGTGAACTCCAGGCATTTCCGAAGTTAGGTCAGTTACTTCTTGGTTTCGATATTAGCTTAACGCGGCAGCAGGCGGTTCTCCCGGGGTCATCAACGTGGCGGCGCGGTAGGAAGGCAGCGGGGTCTGCTTGTCGGCCACCTCGTAGTCCGGCAGCAGGCTGGAGAAGTCCGGCGCCGGGGCCGGCGGCGCGTCGTACGGTGGCGGCGCCGTGCAGGATGACGTCACGTAAACTTACCACGGCAGCAGGCGGTTCTCCCGGGGTCATCAGCGTGGCGGCGCGGTAGGAAGGCAGCGGGGTCTGCTTGTCGGCCACCTCGTAGTCCGGCAGCAGGCTGGAGAAGTCCGGCGCCGGGGCCGGCGGCGCGTCGTACGGTGGCGGCGCCGTGCAGGATGACGTCACGTAAACTTACCACGGCAGCAGGCGGTTCTCCCGGGGTCATCAGCTTGGCGGCGCGGTAAGAAGATGGCGGGGTCTGCTTGACGGCCTCTTCGTAGTCCGGCTGCAAGCTGGAGTAGTCGGGCGCCGGGGCCCGCGGCGCGTCGTACGGTGGCGGCGCCATGCAGGATGACGTTACGTTTACTTACCGCGGCAGCAGGCGGGTCTCCCGGGGTCATCAGCGTGGCGGCGCGGTAGGAAGGCGGCGGGGTCTGCTTGACGGCCTCCTCGTAGTCCGGCAGCAGGCTGGAATAGTCCGGCGCCGGAGCCGGCGGTGCGGCGTAAGGCGGCGGCGCCGTGCCGGCCGACACCACGCCCTCGCTCGAGATCACGAACGGCGTTAGGCTTTGGAGGGCGTGTGTACGCATCGTTAGGTACTTGTAGCAACGCCACACAATGTTGATGCAATACGCCTGAAATGGCAATATTTATATTGAACTTATACTTCTTTAGCCGCGTTATGAAAAAATTATGAGAGTGAAATTTTAAGATGCGCGCGCATCACTGTAACACGAAAGTAACATAATGAAGTTAGCCGCGGGCGCATTATGAAAAAATGATGAGAGTGAAATTTTAAGATGCGCGCGCATCACTGTTACACAATAGTAACACCATGAAGTTGGCCGCGGGCGCGTTATGAATGTTAGTGTCTAATAAACCACTTAGTGGTTAATAATCCACCATTATTAGACATCTGTTCGAAAGGTACTTTGAACGATCCACGGAGCTCCATAAGATGATCGCGTTGTCAAAAACAATGTTGGCACGCTCGTCGCCTCTGATCACTGTTTTCATATTTATAATATTTATCCACATGTTTCTAGTTTATATATAGACACAACGTGTTCTAGTTACTTACAAGTACAAGTACTAATTACATATGGACTAATAACTTAAATTCAGTAGTGATTTTAATTGAATATTTTGAATATTTATTTAATTTTTCAAATTAAAACTGAACTTAATTGACTGTGTTAACTATCCTTTTCCAGTTCTTTTATTATTTTATTGTAATTATTAATTATTTGCATGCATTTAAAAATTTGTTTTAATGATGCTAAAGAAGTATAACTTCCCACGCGCGTACATAAGTTACACGCATCCATTTTTTTATCATATTGAACATAGTATGCACTGCTTATAGTCGAGCTGTCTTTTCTTAATGATATCCCGTTGCTCGTATAACGCATTGTTCCAATCTTGTCTTTTGTAAGCGGTTGTGTGATAAAGAAAGCGCTTTTTTAACAGTGTGTAAAAAGCCTTTTTTATGTCAAAGTCAAGTATATGACCCGCATGATGATAAGCGGCCGCCATCATAGCTAGCCTTTAGTGCTTTTGTGAAGCATGAAATGTCGAGTAGTGGAAAAGACCTACCATTAAAAAAAAATAAAAAGAAGTAGACCCTACGACGAGCGACCGCCGGCGCCGGTAGCTGCAGCAGCTGCGCCCGCTACGGCACGCGCCGTCTCCGCCACCAAGCGGTGGATGGAGCGTAAGTAGCAAGGTATACAATGGAGGTACAAATAACCACCTTGAGCAACACGGCGGCATGGAACGCGGATACTACGCCGAGTGCAAGCGCCTGCACCGGCAGCTGCAGCAGCTCCGCCCGCCACGGCACGCGCCGCGTCTCCGCCACCAAGCGGTGGATGGAGCGTAAGTAGCAAGGTATACAACAGAGGAACAAGTACCCACCTTGAGCAACACGGCGGCAAGGAACGCGGATACTACGACGAGCGCAAGCGCCGGCGCCGGCAGCTGCAGCAGCTGCGCCCGCCACGGCACACGCCGCGTCTCTGCCACCAAGCGGTGGATGGAGCGTAAGTAGCAAAGGTACCCGGTGGCCGTCACGCTGAACAGATTGACAAACATTATACCTACTCATCTAATGGCCGCCATAGACTTACACGCAATTTCATCAAACAAACTTGTTCAATCAGATTAATCAAATTGGCATGAATATGTGTGGGAATATCTTATCAAAATGAGTTATTAATAGACATGAAGAAATATCTATTTAAAAATTTCTGTTTGATCAACTATTTCTCTTCTATTTCTCCTCACGTTCAAAGGGTGCCTTTTATGTTTCGAGTTGCCATACCAACTGTGCTAGTAGAAATACCTTTATTAGACGGACATGTAATTTTTATAATAAGTATTTGAATGAAGCAGATATTTTCAATGAATCACTTAAAATGAAAGTGAGCGATTTATTGTTTAAATAGCATAATTGTATATATTATATATACGGAATGGGTTGGTGGTGCAGATCAGATCGTCTCTGTATCTAGTCTGCGGGAATCCGTTGGTCTGTGTTCTTTATTAACTGTTTTTTTTTTACTTTTGATTGATAAAGTGTTATCGTACGTGGGGGCTGTATTGGTTTGAGTTATATGCTCGTTTCGGTTTTCTGGGTTTTCATCGTGCGGCGGTGATGTATAAAATCTGTTTACAGATATTCATTACTTTTGTGCCGCTTGAATATAATATTTTTATATCAATTACTGGTACTTTAAGTTTATTTGAATACAAACATTCAAATATAAAAAAAAAACAAACTGAAACAGCCTGTTTAATTAAATTACAGAAACACGTCTAGGGCAGCTATAATAAAACACTTTTTAAGCGAGTATGAAGGGTGATTTATTAACCTGATTATTTATAATAGGCTATAGACCACGGATGGAGGCTGTTAAATCCCTGAGGATAATGTAACATGCTGCTCAGGCATCATAGGCTTTACTTAAGAAACTAAACAAAGTCTACCCGTGCAAAGTCGGGGTGGATCCTTTTTACCATATAGAGTTATAATGCCTATCCGAACTTGTTTATGTTATCTAACTGCTGTTAGGATAAAATTAACAATTGTTATAAAAATAATTCAACATAATTTTAACATCAATAATGAAATGAATAATGATTCACGGGCTAATTAACCCAGCTGATAATAGCTGGGTTTTTTATGAAAACATATATGTAATGTTAGATTTTCCTGTTAGGGGTCATCCATAAATTACGTCACACGAATTTCATGTCTTTTTTGCCCCTCCCCCCGTCCTTGTCACAGCTGGTCACATTTATAAGACTCCCCCCCTCCCTAGCGTGACGTCACATATTTTGCAAATTTACATTTAGAAATTATTGAATGAAAACAGCGGTTCTGTAATCAGTTTTATTTCCATTTAAATTGTTTTTTCATTATTATTATAATCAAATCAAACAATTAACAAAACAAAAAAAAACGATTAATTATATTTATTAAAGAAATTACCGAACAAAAAGTGATTGACTATGGTAATTAAAGAAATTAACAAAATATAAAATATTAATAGCATTATAATTAAATTAAAGATACAAACTTAATAATCTTGAGTCCATGGACATTGATCCCACTCCTTTAAATTATTTATAACTGGCATAGCACCACTTTGTTCTCGTTTGGGTTGTTAATGCTTTCGTAAAGTAATAGTTTCAACACTTAGATTTTAATATATTTTGAAATGTGACGTCACGAAATTTAGGACCCCTCCCACCCCTTGTCACACGATGTCACATTTCGTCGACCCCCTCCCTACCCCTTAAAGTGTGACGTAATTTATGGATGGCCCCTTATAATGCGAAGTTACAATAGTATAATTATTTTAATAAAAAGTTAAACTAGATTTAATTTAATTTATGAAATTCAACCTAAGTTCAAGAGAAAAGAAAACAACAAATACTCATTTATAAATATCCCAAGTTTATAGAGAATTTAATAAAATAATTCTAATTATATTTTCTAAAAATTTTACTGCTAGATGTTTAAACCGAAGAAAATATTTCAAGGAAAAATTTCACGCGGACCCGGCAGCAGACGGGACTCGAACCCGCACCCTCCTCTACCCAGGCGGATGCAATGACTATTATGCTACCGCGGCCCTAATTGTCCGTGTCGAATTTTTTCCAGTATATCTTAAGCTGCAAGGCAGCACCATTTCATACACAAAATAGCCTGTCTCTCGACAATTGTCATCTTACGAGGGCGGTTTGATAAGTCCATGACTTTGGAAAGAAGAAACACTCTTTTTAGATATATATATTTATTTTATTACATAATCTCCTTTCAATTCTACACACTTGGTCCAGCGATGTTTCAACCTCTTGAACCCATCAAAAAATATTATTTGTCAAACCCTGAAACATAGGCCTCAGTTTCGGCTACCACCTCTTTTTTTGACGAAAATCTTTGCCCGCCAAGCCATTTCTTCATGTTTGGGAAGAGAAAAAAGTCACAGGGGGCTAAATCTGGCGAATACGGGGGGTGTGGCAATAATTCGTATCCTAATTCGATAGTTTTTGATGTTGCGATTGCAGACGAGGGCCGGTGCATTATCCTGATAAAATAGATATTTTTTTTCTTTGCTAGATGCCGTCGTTTCTTGATCAAATTTTTATTTAATCTATCTAACAATGCAGCATAGTAAGCTCCAGTTATTGTATTGCCTTTATCCAAAAAAACGATGTAAATAACCCCTTGCCTGTCCTAAAAGACTGTGTCCATCTCTTTACTAGCCGAGCAAACAGTTTTTGCCTTCTTTGTGGCACGTTCTCCGGTAGAAATCCATTGCTTCGACTGTTGCCTAGTCTCTGGTGTATGAAACTACGTTTCGTCAACTGTTATGTACTGACGCATAAATTCACTCGGATTGCGATTATACAAGGCTAGGCATTTCTCAGAAGCTGTTACACGATTTCGTTTCCGGTCGACTGTTAGTAAACGCGGCAACTATCTTGCAGGAAGCTTTTTATTGCCCAGAATATCATGCAAAATATAAAAAAAACTCGTTCAGTCGAGATGTGCACAGCATCACTTATTTCATGTTACTTCACTCGACGGTCTGCCAAAACAATATCATGTAGTAGTAGTAGTGACCTCAATCGGCCTTCCTGGGCGCTCCGCGTCATTAGTGGTACTACAAACGAAATTCAGTGAACCACTTATGTACCATCCCATGAGAAGGCGCAGAATCACCATGATACTTTCTCAATTTGTCTTCGGTCTGCTTAATTGTTTTACAATGTATAAAAAAGTGTTTAATTAGCACTCGAAACTCGCTTTTCCATTCTCCAACTCCATTTTCAAAGAATACTTAGAATTCGTCTAACTTTTTTAGTTCTAAAAAGCTTGTTTTCGCGCCAAATTTGAAAAAAGAACGGCATGCACTTCGTATTGAGTTTCGAAATATGAGACAAAAAACAAAAAAATAATAAAGTTTTTATTCAACCTTAAAGTCATTGACTTGCCAAACTGCCCTCGTACATATGTCAATGACATATGTCGACTTGGTGAAATAGATGGGTGCCCTGGGGGCCAATCGCCTAACGGAAATGCTTTGGGAAACGCTAACGCTTACGATTTTATATTGTTATTTCTAGCCGCCTGAGGTTTTCGAATACCTCACGCTCATTTTTTTAATATTGTTATTACCAATGCAAAAGAAAAAGAAAGAGTGCGAGGCATTTGAAAACCTCAGGCGGCTAGAAATAACAAAATAAAATCGTAAGCGTTAGCTTTTCCCAAAGCATTTCCGTTAGGCGATTGGCCCCCTGGTTTATTGTACAATTTTAAGTATGTACCTACCTACTTTCTGTCGTCTGTTAATACTTACACAGTAATTGCAAAGTCGAATATTTGTAGACAGAAGAAGGGCAGGAGATGAGCTGGCTTGCCGCGCGCCGCTCCATAAATCAGCATCAGTGTGATCGCCAGGGTGCACACTGTAACCAGTGCACCCACATCGACATCATCTACAGTGTGGACACACTTTATCAATTAACATTTACCACAGTATTCTTATCCAGCCATCCAAAAATTCAAAACTGGCAATGGCCATAAGGTGACCGACAATTTATTATCTCGAGCTCCTCCGTGCTTCCAAATGCACATAAAGCCGTTGGTCCAGGCTGCATCAGAGGTAGTTAGCACCTACGTCATTGCCCAATCTCCTTATTTCATCCACTTGGTAAGTCCTGTGCCCTAGTAGTGGGAACATTAATAGGCTGTTGATGATGATACTTATTTCAAACAAGACTAAGAAGCCTTACCCAAATGGAAATGAGCTTCCCACTATGAAGAAAATGAAGACAGGGTTATAGATACAGTGACACAGGTTGTCAAACTTATTGTAACTACTACTCTGATAATCTTTAAGAAACAAATATTTATTAGCGCCCGCCATAATTATTGGCTTTACCAAGTATGAAATTAAAAATTAAAAAATCTTTTTTTTATATAAGCTTTTATTTAAATACGTTTTATTAATTATTTATTACACTGTCATAGATTTATGATCATAGTAGAAGCATAAATGTTATATTTTGCACGTATAGCACATGTATAGCGCTATACGTGCAAAATATAACATAGTATATCTGATACATTATTTGTGTTAAATCTGTGGACGGTATCATGAGATACTTAGTAAAGCAAAAAAGAATTTATTTGTTTCTTAGGTTTTCACGCACATCACTCATTAAATAAAACTAGTTTTTACGGCTTAATGCACGAAACTTTATTTATTTATTGACGTTTCGCAGCCTTTTCAGGTCTGCATCGTCAGAATAATAACTTATTCTGACGATGCAGACCTGAAAAGTAAAAAGCATAATAACTTATTCTGACGATGCAGACCTGAAAAGGCTGCGAAACGTCAATAAATAAATAAAGTTTCGTGCATTAACCCGTAAAAACTAGTTTTATTTAAAAAAGAATTTATTTTATTGATATCAAAACAAACAGCGTTCAGGCTAGGTACAGGCAGATGAATGAGAAGTCCCCATGGAGTTCCTTTTATTATCAGCATGCAAGTTATGAATTACTCGTATGGATTATCGTCGGTCATGCACGTAGACATAAATGCATGTGATGCAGCATTTACGTTTAGGGCTGTATATGTGTCATGTACGACCCAAAAAAATCGGGTTTTTGAACAGACACCGAGCCGTTGCGATACTTTTTTTTCTGACTACCCCTCGATAATATGGACAATTATCCGGTAAATAAACTGTTAGCAGTCGATCTAAACGTGTATTATGGACTTTCGAGTCTATATCTATACTTAAGTAATAATCTTAATATACAGATCAGACTACTTTTTTTGCGACAAATGTAATGCAATATAATATGTTTTCTTTAGCATATTGAATTGTACGATAATCTAACTCGTTATTTTGATGTAATGACTACAAGTGCATCGATTATATTTTGATAAATCGATACGGTTATTACAAAATGGCAACACTGAGAAGACAAGTGTGTCAAAAATACAAATGAAATGGAAGTGAATGAATTACTAATTTTTTATAGAAATTTTTGTTCGGCGAAGTTAAAGCAAATTATTTAACATGGTTTTGTGAAAATTAAAAACTTGATTTTTGATATAAATTAGGTGAAAGGCCGACCAAGGACGATACTAAAAATGGGCATTCTCCTTTAAGCTCAATCGAATGAAGACATAATATCTGCTTTCAATTGAGTTCCAAGGTTCCACCCGAACAAACATACTTACAACACATATATACATACGTACATTGCAAGTTAAATAAAAGCTTTTACAAATCACACAATTGTAAAAATAATTGTTAAATGTGTAGGATCAGGGCATGGTCTGAGTAAAAATAAAAAAAAAAATCCAAAAGCTTTCTAACTTCAGACTTACGGTAAATAAGGTTATGATCTCTTGGTGGTGTGGTATGTTGTAAGTTACTGGGCCGAGGCTCCACGTTCGACAGTGGAGTTGGCATCTCATAGCGGTGTCCAGCATCGCTCCAGTCGGCTACAGTAGCCGAATCACGTTCAAGCTCATCTAGAAGACGAGGATCACGCACCACGGCCGCCAAAAATCCAAGTGCGATCAGATGTAACATCTGTCCAATGGGAAATTGTTAAAAATAAATGAGTTAATTAAGAGACGAATGGTAGGGCTTAGCAAGTCTTCAGCTCGAACTGGAGTTTCCGTCTGTGCGAAGTAACCTCCACGTTACAGAAGAATTTAATAAAATAACAGTACCATAGAGGTACTGTAGTGTAGTGTTTTCTTTCTGTCTGTAGGTTCGGGTTGGGGATGGCATTAAGTTAGACAACGCGTGAGTGTCATTGATGTCTGAACTCTGAAGGCTATGGACGCGCTTACAATAAGATGGGTTATATGACAGTCTGCCATCTTTTTAAACAAAAGTTAAAAACTGAGAAGTAAAGGTTACCTACTAATTAGCTAGAATTCATTTTTTAAGCTAAGATTATTTTTACAAATTTTTATATCTAATTCATATTATCTAGCTCTTAAGAGCCCTTTCACATTTTTTACAAAAAATCGTAACTTTTGAGCGCCTCGTTTACCCCCTTAGAAAAGATTTTGACTATTTCCAATAGAAGTAAACAGTTGAATATTTACTAATACTATTTTCCTTTTTTTGTACTGATCGTTCTACTGCAATTAGTTTACGGAAAGAAACGATAATAGCCACAACTCAAACGCCTCAATCTCTCAATAATGTTCAATAAATTAGATGAAATTAATTACTACATCAGAAATATGTTTTTGTTGTAACATAATGTATTAGAATTTTGATTTTCCATCTCATTAATTATCAAAAAAACATCTAACCTCCGTGAATTTTCTTAAAAAAGAATGCAGGTTTACCTCGTATTTTGATATTGAATTAAATAAAATTACTATCAAAAACTTTTATTAAACTAATCTACCATCATTGAACTACTGAAATATGTATATATTTTAATACTTAGTTAAAATAATTATTTTATAAGACTCGAAACATCAGCCGTAAAATAGAATATAGGTATACTAGTGCAAATCAACCTACGCGCTGATCAGTACGGACGGCAGCGGCGCAATTTTGTAAAGAGCTCATTTTGATTGATTTGAAACTGATTTTATTTGCAATTGCATAAATACGTATTTCCTGAAAACTAATGTTCGAACTTTAACGTTACGTTACAGTAATCCAAATTATAATCTGTACTGAATTTAGTTTTTAATTCATATAATAAATCAATAGTTATTGAAGAACAAGCATAAAAAACGCTAAAATCAGTAAATCGAAGTATACTTACCAAATGCCATGTTCCAAGCAGAATAGTACCAGTTCGCACATGGAGACAAAAGCAGCATCTCCATTCGCTGCTTCGTTCACTTCCCAGTTTTGGGCGAAACCTCAACATTTTAACTGTAGACATACAAAATTTTTTTTTTCAATTTTCGACTTTTAATTTCTATAGGTATCTTTATTCAAAATAGTCAATAATACGCAAATCTACAGCAGAGGAGACCTTGTAGGTGCTTAAAATACCGAAAAGAAACTAAGTAAGGCGTCGTCGATTACAAACATGACTTCAATAAAGAAGAAGCTAATAATATAATTAAGACACTAAACTTCTTATCAAAATTTTAAATTTGCATAGATATTCTTATCATAGCATTGAAAACAGTGTCATACAGTATGAACACTAAGTAGTTAGTTATGTAAGAATCAGTACTGCAGCTTAGAGCAAACTAATCCTTACTAGTAGCACCACACACAAGCATAACACATGAGTCAGTCAATGTCTTGCTCGCCCATATTTTAAGAAACATAATGATCCACCACATACAATACCATTGCAGAGATTTCTAAACTGGGTATCAATTCCAAGTTAGAGTAATAATTGTTTATCAGTGATGTTTAAGTAGGTTTGATTCTTTCAATTCAATTCAATTTATTTGCATCAAATAGGGTACAAATACAACATTTCATCTAAATTGTATCTTAACCTATTTAGTCATAAAAAAGATAACATGCAAATTTTTCTATTCAAATACCTATATTAATTATTCGATGTTGTCAATTTATCATGTCAATAATTATGTGAATGTCAAAATGAGAATGATTTTGTAAAGAAAAAATGTTATATTTAAACCTATTAAGCATATCATTTACCCGTGCATCAAATCCTACCATAATTCACTAACTCAACCATACTGTAAAACGTGTTTTCATTTAACCACTACCGAAGTTTTGACTTGAACTTATTAAAGGTTTGGCTTTTAATTTCTTCTGGAATTTGATTATAAATTTTAATTGCCATCACCGGTGCATTTGTTTGGATTCGCTTTGTTTTCGGAACTGTGTAAAGTTTTATTTTATTAGGATACCTCCGACTTTGATCTGTTACATCTTTTGCGACTGTATACAAATGGTAGTGCTGCTTTACAAAAGTTGCAACTTCCAGAATGTACAGAGAAGACAAAGTTAAAATATTTAGGTCCTTAAAATATGTCCTACAAGAAACATCCGGGGCTATATTACAAATTGCTCTTAAACACCTTTTTTGGCATACAAACACTCTTACACTTTTAAACATGGTTCTATTATTAATCTTAGGAAAATAAATATTATTTACATGTTAATGACAACTGTTTAATTTTTATAATTAATAAAATTCATTAAATTAGTTTTGTCCAAGTTAATTTGTAAATTATTTTCTGAAAGCCATTTGACTATAGGTATCAGTAGGTATCAGTGTGTTTATAATTTCAGTTTGATGTTCTTTTAAGGAAGTGCTTTTATCCAACGTTTCAATAACTGATACGTCATCAGCAAAGAGTATTGTCTTATGCTTTATAATTTTAGGTAAATCATTTATGCACAGCAGAAATAAAGGCGATCCAAGAACACTTCCTTGAGGAACGCAGGAACATTTTTCTTTTAAATCGGAGTAATAAGTGTGTTCTACTTGTTTCAAATCCATTTGTTTTGTTTCTACAAATTGAGTATGATTTTTTTAAATACATCTATCCAACTTAAAGCGGACCCGTAATCCCAGTGTTTGTCAGCTTTACCAAAAGTCAGTCATGTGATATGCAGTCAAAAGCTTTCGACAGATCCAAAAATTTCATATTGCTCTGACACAATGAACTGAAGGAGTGAGGGATCTGGCCACTAGTTTGCATATTTTGTCTGTGTTTGTTATAATAATCCTACATTCAGCAAGAGTTTCCTGTTTCCCTTAACATTCATAAGTGGAATTATATCTGGTACTAACGCTTTTGTTCTCAACATAATACAAATACTACACCACCCAGCAAATGCATAGTTAGCGTCATCTAAACTTTTTTCAAACCGAAAATAAATTTAACAGCATCTAAACTTTTTTCAAACTGAAAATAAATTTAACAGCTATCACAAATTGTTTCAGGAGCTACATATGTTGTGAATTAGAAATGTTTATCTAGAGAATGTACAAAGTGTGTTAATAAGACACTTTCTATTGTTCCGTTAGTTAATTCTTAAGCTTCAAAGTTCAATGTGTCCCCTGACATAGGTAACAGTCCTCTGTATAGATTCATCAAAAATGCTTAAAATTTTCCAAAGTAAATGGGAATATTTTTTTGGTTCAACTGCCGTATATTTAGTAATAGACCTATATTTATTCAGAGATTTCTTATTAAATAATTTAGTTACTAAATTAGTAAATTACTTATTACACAACAGATATACATAATACGATATTGTAATAAATAATAAGTGAAAATAATTTCACTTTACTATTAGAATATCAAAGTATATTAGAGAAGATGGTGATTCCTAATTCTGATTCAAAAAAATGTGTATTATCTGTTCTTACTTTTCAAGAAGGTGAGGGTGCTAAATAACAAAGAAAATGAAAAAAAAAATAACAACATATAATTGATAAATTGTGCAATACATTGGAGTAGTATTTTGTGACACATCTTAAAAAAATATTTGTGAATTTTATTTAAATACATAATACATGAATCATCAAGTATTTATACAAATTAATTCTCTTTCTGAAAGGTTTCAGTAGTTTCAATAAAATATTATTTGCAGAACATTTTCCTTATACAAAGTACAACAACACATTTTTAGTTACCAATTGTAGAACAATAAAAATAAACTAAACTAAGTTTTTGTATTATTAATGTAGTCACAGTTACTTAGCCAAAGCCAGTACAAAAAGAAAGGAAAAAAGTTCAAATTAATTAAAACTACTATTCAGGACCCCTGACTGCATTTTATTATAGCCCCTTAATATACCGTATAGATCAACAGTACATTATTACTGTGGTTTGAATAGAATAATAACAATGGCCTATTAAAAAAATATTCTGGTAAATCCTAAAACACCTGTTCAAACAAACACTGTCATTTCTTAATATATGGCAATGTTAAGAAATTTAGCTGATATGGTTATTTCAGTACTCTTATCTTATCCCATGTCTTAATTTAATAAATACTTAATAAACAAACTACTAATAACATTTCTTTTTCTTTTGCACAATAATTGTACTGTAAATTACTTCTAAGGTAATATAGCATTAACATCCCTTTTGAAATCTCAAGGTTTATAAAAGCAATATTCTAAGGAAAACCATTCTACTAGTACACAGGTCAATATGGAAGGGGCACTATAATACTTTGTGTTTATTTATAATATCTATTCTCTGTTCTGTAGCATAGTACATTGTGACATATATCTAAAATATTGAAATTTATACACAGGATTCAAAACGTGACAGTCTCAGGGATTGATACTCCTAAATAACTACATCAGCTAAAATTATTTTCATAATTTTAGCTCATTGATAGAGATTAACAAGACATACGTTCAACAATGACTAAGTAACTATCAGTCAATACTTAATAATGAATAACATACCTCTTGTTTAAAGTGTATAAAATCTCATAAGACTGGTTAGTTTCCAAATTATGTAGTTATTATATTAATTCTCTTCAACTCGATTGCGAAATCAGAAACAGTCGCAAACACACACATTAAGTGACACACACAGAGTCAGTGTTGCCAACTCGGATTTTGAAAAAGACGTAGGCCCGATGAGAAAATTACGTAGAATTGGTAAAATTTGCATATGAAAAGTACGTAGATCTACGTACTTTTTTCTGAGTGAAATGAAGAAAGTTAGGAGAAACCGAATAAAACGAGTATTTGGACAATTTATTTAAAAACGGGAGATAGAACAAAGAGTTCTTGGAGAAGTCGCTGCATTGGAATCATTAATCATGCTGTGGTAGACATTTACCATCAGACACAGACGCTGGTAGGTATCGATTCTGGCATGATTCTCTAAATTTAAAACTAAATTTAACATCAGTCTCTCCTTTTCATTCTGTATAGAGAATGACGAATGAATGAAGTTGACACTTTTTGCAATTATGTTTTAAATTGTTAATAATTGTTCTATCAGACCGAAAAAAATGTATTTTTTTTTACCTAGAAGACATACAAAAACGCTATTTATCTATAGACTTATCTATACTATGACGTCAAAACATTAGTAAACAAACACTCGCAAGCACGTAGGAAATAAACTTTCTGAGTTAATATTACAAAACCATGATTTTTAATAGATCACATGAAAAATATAGTAGTTATCATGATACACTTGGTAAAAGACTCTAGAAAAGTTGTGGTTTAAATTGCCAAGAGAAATAAACATACTTACAGATGAACACAATCGTTTAAAAACTTGCTAAATCCTGTAACTTTATCGACTGAAAGTCATTTCTTTTTGCCAAGATCAAATCAATGCAAGTACTCATTGAATAAGATTTAAAGTTTAAAAATAATCATTTTAAGGTTATGAATGTACCTACTATATCAAAGAGTTTTGTTGTTTCTGCTTTCACAAATCCTGCGTCCATCATTAATTTAGTCAACAAATCCAATAACGGGAACCTTTTCTACAAGAAACAAGAGTTTTTAGATACATCTTTATGAGAAATAAACATTTGTATAGTTTTTAAGTAAAGTAACGGAAAATATTCTTCTTTATTCTAGTGAATTAAGTCATTTTACAAATTTGAGAAAATTGAAGAAAATACGTAGATTCTGGGACTGAAGTTAGTAGGTTTGCAAAAAAGGCCTAAAATACGTAGATCTACGTAAAAAGACATAGAGTTGGCAACACTGCACAGAGTCCACAGACTAAAGAGTATAGTAAGTATACCAAAGGCACAGACACAGACTCGCGCAAACAGCAGTGTAAGGGTGCGGCCAGAGTGCACTCAGATTCAGATTCAGATTCAGATTCTGAAAACAAGCGCGAGAAATAAACAGTGTAGTCTAAGCAGATTGCCTGCTTTTTCTCGCGCTTTGTTTTCTGAATCTGAATCTGAATCAGGAGTGCACTCTGGCCGCACCCATAGATGAGAATGTCACAAACTGTAACTGACTAGTGGTGTATTCCGAAATAAACATCAGTATACTGGCCAGTGGTAATGACGTCACGAATCCGACGCCATATTGTACTGGTATGCTACCATATTTTTACCGGGAAATCGAATATGACGTATGATCGAGCGTGCGTGAGATGCATTCGAATTTTATTTTTTTATTTAAAGAACAATAATAGCATCTGAACAAAAAGAATTCCTTTTAATTGATGAGGTGAATAAAAAATATTCTTTATTCGCACTATTTTTAATATTTCGTCGATTTATGACGTCAGTGCACTGCCCATTATTTTTCGGAACAATTCACCAGTATAGCGTCGATTAATGACATCATTATCACTGACCAGTATACTGGTATATATTAAGGAATACACCCTTAGACACAGACAACTGTCAGAGTTATCAACATATAAAATCAAAGAATTAATAATAAATTTTATTAATAATCTTTGTTTTTCTGAACCATGACTAGTGTTGCCGGATCCGATATATTTTAAATCGGTACAAGAGGTCAAGAAAATGGAAACTACGGCCGCCATGTTGAAATGTCATTCGATTGTCAGTGGTACCAATTCTGGACTGATTCTCTAAACTTAAAACTAAATTTAACATCAGTCTCTCCTTTTCATTCTGTATAAAGAATGACAAGGATATACTGCTGTCAAATTTAAGTTTAGGTTTAGAGAATCATGCTAGAATCGACACCAGTGTCTACTACATTCGGGTGTTCTGTGTTTTCTGTTGCGATATTTCTACATTTTCAGCATTTAATATGCCAAAAGTGATGCGCGAAGCATCATTCTTAAAGTCAAAGCCTTTTTTAAAGAAGAAGCTCGGGTGGAGGCTCCGATTATTCCATTTAATCAAGTATACAAATGAATTTCGGCAGCTACAGGTTAGTGTTGTCTACTTTCTTTTTGTAAATTACCCGATATTTTTTTCATTGATTACTTTTTAACGTAATTGTAACTTAAAAATATAAAGCTGAGTGATGCAACTTCCTATAGTTCTCGTCACATAAAAATATTGCTGGAATAATCTGAGGGGCTCTCCCGCATTCTCTCCACTCCACTGCCTTCCAACGTTCTTCTTACGTGACGCAATTTGTACGCAAGCCGCATAAAAAATAGTTACTCATATTTTAACTACAGTATGTAAATACTTAATTAATTTTGTCTATATTTCAGGTGTGAGTCAAGGGCTAATTTCAAAAATAGTTAAGGAAGGGCATGCAGCAGAAGAAGCTGGTACAAAAATTCGGACCCCAGGTAAGGAGAGGAAACGTCAAAGTGGGTTTATTCATGTTGATGATTTTGACATGGGAGTTATCCGGAGGAAAGTACATGAATTTTACTCTAATAAAAACGAGTTACCGACTGTTAAGAAGCTCCTAGAGGTCTTAAAAACAGAAATAAATTACACAGGACAAAGAGAAAGTCTACGAAAGCTGCTCCACAAAATAGATTTTCGCATTAAAAAGTCGCAGTCTAATCGTAAAATGCTCATGGAGCGCAATGCAGTATCAGCTTGGAAAGCAAAATACTTTTTAGAAAAAATTACGTACGTAATACGTTGTAGAAAAAAATTATAAATCTCCACAGCCTCGGCCGCTAATTTATTTAGATGAAACCTATATACATTCATCGCATACATCAGGTAAATGCTGGCAAGGAGAGGGTGTAGATGGAGTGTTAGAGCCTGTATCAAAAGGGCAAAGATATATTATTGTTCATGCGGGAGGGGATACCGGATTTGTACAAAATGCTCTTCTAGTTTTTAAGTCCAACACATAAAGTGGTGACTATCATGACGACATGAATAGTACTAACTTTAAAAAGTGGGTTATTGAAAAACTTGGGCCTAATTTACAAGAGCCATCAATTATAGTAATGGATAATGCCCCTTATCACCGTATTTGTGTAAATAAAATACCAAATACTAATTCTTTGAAGAAAGATATGCGTTTGCAATTTATGGTTGACACAAAATAAAATTGACTACGGAGAGGAGTTTACGAAACCTCAGCTGTTAGAAATAATTAAGAGAAATAAGCCTGTAGCTGTGTTTGAAATTGAAAAAATATTAGAAGAAAATGGACACAAATGCTTGTACTTACCTCCCTCCATCGTCATCTCCATCGTCATCATTGTGATCTCAATCGCATCGAATTAATATGGAGCTCGATGAAAAGAAGAGTTGCAGATGTAAATATTGACCACAAAAATTCTGAGATTCCCTGCCTAGTTCAAGAAGCTTTTGAAAGTATAACGGTCAGAGAGTGGGCTCAGCATTGCAATCATGTTCGCAAGTTACAAGTAGAATATTTGAAGCATGATGTGTATTTGGAAAGTGACAGTGATAATGATGACATGGATATAAGCGGCGTGTGGCCTCACACCCAGGATGAAGTTGGGCGTGCAAGTTCATCAAAAGATCATAATTATTGTAAACCGGGATTCTAATAAATTATTTTTAAGCAAACTTTTGTTTTTTTACCCCTCACATCGTTAAGGGAGGCCCGTGCCCCAGCAGTGGGGACGTATATGGGTTGATGATGATGATGAAAGTTTTGTTTTATTCATTTTTTCATTTTCATTTGTCTACTTTGCTAAACATTTAGTTTGTAAGTGGGGTACCTACATTATATTAATTGAATGCCAGAGAAAAAGCTAATGTATGTATCTACCTACATTAATTTTCTTATTTTTGAAGACTATTTAGTACTTTTATTACCATTTTATTATTATAAAACAGTGTTAGGTATTCTTTAAAATAATAAAATTATGTTTATATGTTTACCTAGTTTCTTATCTGACATATCATGGGTAACTTTTATTAATTTGCAACACTGAAGCGACGATGGCGCTACCACTCAGTTCACAGATAAGTTGGTGGGTCTGTAGTCTAAGACTGGGTTACAGTTATTAGCGCCCACCTCAAAAGAAAGGCACTTTACAGACATGATTAGAAACAAACAAAGGTATTCATAATACATTACACTACGTGTGTGTATGACTGAGTGTGTACATGTGGTGTGTGTGAGGTATATTACCCTAGCGTAACAATTTCATAAGTCCATATCCTAAGGTATATAGTATTTTGTTGCTAATTTGTTGCTATTTTGTGCCGCAAGAATTGATTTTGTTGCTCCATGATTTCTCCGAAAAACGCCTGTTACGCTAGCGTAATATTACGCTAGCGAAACCACAGCGATAACTCGGAGGCAAAAGCAGTTAGAGAGATCAGATGAACGGCATATTTTGTTGCTATTTTGTTGCTGTAAGATAAGCTGGTTAGATATGGAAAAATTACCCCCCTTCATGGGGGGCTAACTACCCTTATTCTTAGATATTTCAGATTTTTCGTATCTCGTGAACTAAAGCAGCTAGCGGCACGAGACAAACGGCGTATTTTGTTGCTGTAAGATAAGCTGGTTAGATATGGAAAAATTCCCCCCCTTCATGGGGGGCTAACTACCCTTATTCTTAGATATTTCAGATTTTTCGTATCTTGTGAACTAAAGCAGCTAGCGGCACGAGACGAACGCCGTATTTTGTTGCTATAAGGTAGGCATGCTGCGTACATCATAATCACAACCCTTATCGGGGTATGACCAACCCCCGACCTCAAGACACCAGATAATTCGTATCTCGTGAGCTAAAGCAGCTAGCGACCCGAACCCAACGGCGTATTTTGTTGCTATTAGATAGGCATGCTGCGACCATCATAATCACAACCCTTATCGGGGTATGATCTACCCCCGACCCTGAAGACACCAGATATTTCGTATCTCGTAAACTAAAGCAGCTAGCGGCACGAGACAAACGGCGTATTTTGTTGCTGTAAGATAAGCTGGTTAGATATGAAAAAATATCAACCCTTCATGAGAGGCTAACTACCCTTATTCTTAGATATCTCAGATATTTCGTATCTCGTGAGCTAGGCATGCTGCGACCATCATAATCACAATCCTTATCGGGGTATGATCAACCCCCGACCCCGAAGACACCAGATATTTCTTATCTCGCGAGCTAAAGCAGCTAGCGACCCGAGACGAACGGCGTATTTTGTTGCTATGAGATAGGCATGCTGCGTACATCATAATCACAACCCTTATCGGGGTATGATCTACCCCCGACCCTGAAGACACCAGATATTTCGTATTTCGTGAACTAAAGCAGCTAGCGGCACGGACAAACGGCGTATTTTGTTGCTGTAAGATAAGCTGGTTAAATATGGAAAAATTCCCCCCCTTCATGGGGGGCTAACTACCCTTATTCCTTGTACGTCAGCATTTCGCTAAGAAGTCATAACAATTTCCGTATTATGAACCAACTTCTGGTCAGTCCGACTATTATTAATATTATTTGTAATAGTTATTTTCTGATTTATTATAGTATTCTTAAGTAAGTATAGTAGTATTTATTATTGTATATGTGTAGGTATTTATCGTATATATAAATATATAAACATGTATTTATCGTATTATAAATATATAAATATGTTATATATTTGTAGTTATTTAGGTATATTTATAGATGTTAATTATTATATTAACATGTAGTTTTATGAATTTAATTTTGTTTTTATTTCTCTTTAACTATAATGCTTTAATTTACTTGACCGCATAATGTCTCTGCTTAGCCCGATGGTTGACTGGTAGAGAATGCCATGTGGCATTAAGTCCGCCATTTGTAACAAAACAATAAAGAGTAAATAAATAAATAAATAACTACCCTTATTCTTAGATATTTCAGATTTTTCGTATCTTGTGAACTAAAGCAGCTAGCGGCACGAGACAAACGCCGTATTTTGTAGCTATTTTGTAGCTATAAGATAGGCATGCTGCGTACATCATAATCACAACCCTTATCGGGGTATGACCAACCCCCGACCCCAAGACACCAGATATTTCGTATCTCGTGAGCTAAAGCACCTAGCGACCCGAGACCAACGGCGTATTTTGTTGCTATTTTGTAGCTATAAGATAGGCATGCTGCGTACATCATAATAACAACCCTTATCGGGGTATGATCAACCCCCGACCCCAAGACACCAGATATTTCGTATCTCTTGAGCTAAAGCAGCTAGCGACCCGAGACCAACGGCGTATTTTGTTGCTATAAGATAGGCATGCTGCGTACATCATAATCACAACCATTATCGGGCTATAACCTACCCCCGACCCTGAAGACACCAGATATTTCGTATCTCGTGAACTAAAGCAGTTAGCGGCACGAGACAAACGGCGTATTTTGTTGCTGTAAGATAAGCTGGTTAGATATGAAAAAATATCATCCCTTCATGAGAGGCTAACTACCCTTATTCTAAGAAATCTCAGATATTTCGTATCTCGTGAGCTAAAGCAGCTAGCGACCCGAGACCAACGGCGTATTTTGTTGCTATTTTGTAGCTATAAGATAGGCATGCTGCGTACATCATAATCACACCCTTATCGGGGTATGACCAACCCCCATCCCCGAAGACACCAGATATTTCGTATCACGTGAGCTAAAGCAGCTAGCGACCCGAGACCAACGGCGTATTTTGTTGCTATTTTGCGACTATAAGATAGGCATGCTGCGTACATCATAATCACAACCCTTATCGGGGTATGACCAACCCCCGACCCCAAGACACCAGCTATTTCGTATCTCGTGAGCTAAAGCAGCTAGCGACCCGAGACCAACGGCGTATCGGGGGTTGGCCATACCCCGATAAGGCTTGTGATTATGATGTACGCAGCATGCCTATCTTATAGCTACAAAATAGCAACAAAATACGCCGTTGGTCTCGGGTCGCTAGCTGCTTTAGCTCAAGAGATACGAAATATCTGGTGTCTTGGAGTCGGGGGTTAGTCATACCCCGATAAGGGTTGTGATTACGATGTACGCAGCATGCCTATCTTAAAGCAACAAAATACGCCGTTGGTCTCGGGTCGCTAGCTGCTTTACCTGACGAGATACGAAATATCTGGTGTCTTCGGGGTCGGGGGTTGGTCATACCCCGATAAGGGTTGTGATTATGATGTACGCAGCATGCCTATCTTATAGCAACAAAATACAACAAATTTTTGACTTTATGAGATTATAACTTTAAATTGTCCAAGTGTCGTGTTAATAAGGGATTGTTACTATTGACCATTCAGTTAACAGTTAGCCAGGAAGTGTGGCTGTTGGGTGACTCCGTGTCTGTCACCGGTTTGCTTGGTCGGCACTCGGCACTCATGCGAGTCTCTTTCAGTGAGCTGCGAGCTGCACACGACACGTCACTGTGGTCGTGACCTCGCCAGTTCAACGACCGCACCCGCGTCAGCCCGTCACCGACCGTCAAACCACAAAATAGATAGTACAGAAGTCAAATACATGTTTGTACTTCACTTTTCATTCACCTACGCCGAGTGTAGACTCAGCGCCGGCGACGGTCGTGCTTGGATTGTCAACTATGGCTTATGCACAAAAAACATCGTGGAAGTGGCACTCGTATCTTGTCGTTTGATTATTAGTTGAAAATGTAAATGGAAGATTGGAAATATAAACTAATAATAACTAAAATATTTACTAATAATAAATATAAACTAATAATAACGAAATATCTGGTGTCTTCGGGGTCGGGGGTTGGTCATACCCCGATAAGGGTTGTGATTATGATGTACGCAGCATGCCTATCTTATAGCAACAAAATACGCCGTTGGTCTCGGGTCGCTAGCTGCTTTAGCTCAAGAGATACGAAATATCTGGTGTCTTGGGGTCGGGGGTTGGTCATACCCCGATAAGGGTTGTGATTATGATGTACGCAGCATGCCTATCTTATAGCTACAAAATAGCAACAAAATACGCCGTTGGTCTCGGGTCGCTAGCTGCTTTAGCTCACGAGATACGAAATATCTGGTGTCTTGGGGTCGGGGGTTGGTCATACCCCGATAAGGGTTGTGATTATGATGTACGCAGCATGCCTATCTTATAGCTACAAAATAGCAACAAAATACGCCGTTGGTCTCGGGTCGCTAGCTGCTTTAGCTCACGAGATACGAAATATCTGAGATATCTAAGAATAAGGGTAGTTAGCCTCTCATGAAGGGCTGATATTTTTTCATATCTAACCAGCTTATCTTACAGCAACAAAATACGCCGTTTGTCTCGTTCGGCTAGCTGCTTTAGTTCACGAGATACGAAATATCTGGTGTCTTCAGGGTCGGGGGTAGATCATACCCCGATAAGTGTTGTGATTATGATGTACGCAGCATGCCTATCTCATAGCAACAAAATACGCCGTTGGTCTCGGGTCGCTAGCTGCTTTAGCTCACGAGATACGAAATATCTGGTGTCTTCGGGGTCGGGGGTTGATCATACCCCGATAAGGGTTGTAATTATGATGGTCGCAGCATGCCTATCTAATAGCAACAAAATACGCCGTTGGGTTCGGGTCGCTAGCTGCTTTAGCTCACGAGATACGAATTATCTGGTGTCTTGAGGTCGGGGGTTGGTCATACCCCGATAGGGGTTGTGATTATGATGTACGCAGCATGCCTACCTTATAGCAACAAAATACGGTGTTTGTCTCGTGCCGCTAGCTGCTTTAGTTCACAAGATACGAAAAATCTGGGCTAAACTGTACTTCCAGGGCCCAAGTGGTGATACTTCACACTAGGTTAGGTTAGGTTAGTGTTGTGACCATAACGCGCGAGCCGAGCGAGCAAAGCGAGCGTGCCGCGGCAGCGGCCGGCAAAGCAACAGAAAAAAAATGATAAAAAAGACCTTTTCTCCAAAAAAATAAATAAGTATCACCTTTTGGGCCCTGGAAGTACAGTTTTACCAAAATCTGAAATATCTAAGAATAAGGGTAGTTAGCCCCCCATGAAGGGGGGGAATTTTTCCATATCTAACCAGCTTATCTTACAGCAACAAAATATGCCGTTCATCTGATCTCTCTAACTGCTTTTGCCTCCGAGTTATCGCTGTGGTTTCGCTAGCGTAATATTACGCTAGCGTAACAGGCGTTTTTCGGAGAAATCATGGAGCAACAAAATCAATTCTTGCGGCACAAAATAGCAACAAATTAGCAACAAAATACTATATACCTTAGGATATGGACTTATGAAATTGTTACGCTAGGGTAATATACCTGTGTGAGTGTGATAGAGAGATGTGTGTGCATGTGCGTGTTTTACTTGATTAATGCCTCCACAGTGTCATATTCCAAGTAAAGTAACCACCCGCTCAATTTGATTTTACATTCATGCTTTGAAAGAGGGTGTCGCGAAGAGACTTTGTGGGCATTCTATGTGGTTGTCTTATTCTATCTTTACACCTATTGCAATGAAGTATATTAACTACTACCAAATACTGACACATTCTTTAGAGGTTCAACCAGAAACCACACAGAACCACACATGTCTCATCGTCTGCGTACAACCCACACCAACAGGGTGTACAATGGACTGAGACAGACCGCGATTATTCATACTTTCGGCATTGAACAATTTAAACATGTTACTATCAAGTTATATTAATGTTTCATACCTTATTCTGTCTTGTGTTAAATTTGCTATTGATATCTGCTTCGCTCAGTTAAATTTATTCCCATCGTCAATTGTCAAGATCATCAAGGAACCTGTATAAAGAAATTATACTATGAATCTCAGAGTTGAGACACTAAGCATCTTCCTCTCCAAGATCAATACCTATACATTATATGTACACACACATCAATATTCACATATACATTAACATCGATTTTCTACTCATTTTACATAACATTTCATGATTGGCAAAGGACACTTTCAGCGTATCCTGTTTGATTATCATAAGCCTTTGATTATGAAGCCAAGGTGTGCCAAGCAATCCTCGCACACACTCTCTTGGCCTCCCTTGTTCATCGTGAAGCCAAGGTGTGTCGTGCAGCCCTCGCACACACTCTCTTTGGCCTCCCTTGTTCATCGTGGAGTCAAGGTGTGTCGAGCAGCCCTCGCACACACTCTCTTTGGCCTCCCTTGTTCATCGTGGAGCCAAGGTGTGTCGAGCAGCCCCCACACACACTCTCTTTGGCCTCCCTTGTTCATCGTGGAGCCAAGGTGTGTAGAGCAACCCTCGCACACACTCTCTTGGCCTCCTTGTATGTTCAGTCAAGTGCACTCTGACTAACATCCCGCGCAACACCCGCAAGCGTTCGCCAATACAATCGCCGATCTATGTTGCGAATGTACTGCTCTTAATATAGGTAAGTCTTTCTTCCGACCGACCAATCGACACGTGAAATCATATGATACACATCACATGGGCAATAAATAGTAATTAATTGACTCGGGGAAGACACTTAGCTCTCATATCCAGAATCTCGCAAACAGCACACATTTCAGCCGGAGTTGAAAAGGAAAAGAAAACTTTTCTGACAGGTAAAAAACCGCGGAGCTACGGACCACAGATTAAGTATTAAAAGCGGTTAATGTTACTCACCACAGATTACAGGATTTTGTTGCCATATCCAATATTTACATTTCGCGACTTAGTCAAGTTTGCCCGTCGCGACAGAGTGTTACGCACACACACTCCACCGAATCTGCTGACACAAGACAGCATTGCACACGGCACTACTGTTAGTATGGCGTGACCGCAAAATTGCACAATTGATGTAAACTGCTGATGCAGCGGCACGTGGAGCATCGCCGGGCGTGAAGCGATGGAGGTCGTCGAGGCGTCACTTTTGCATCAAACTTCGATCGGGTCACTAGATCGATTAGGCTAATATAATTTTATTGTAATTCTTTTATTTCTATTACATTAGTTCTAAAGTAATTTTGGTTTTTTTGCTATCTTCGGCTGCAGCTTCTATAATTGGCGCAGTCGGTAGGATACTCGATAGGGTAGCTATAGATATTATATCGACTTTTCGCTACCGCGCGTGAGCGAACGGGCCGCGTCATTGCCGCGCCGAGTATCCTGAAGAACCTGAGGCCGCAGCGAAGATACGTATCCAGAAATCGATACCGCAAAGAGAGCTGAAATGCAGATTAAACTGTGAGTACATTGAATATTTCTTTATTCGTGTTGCTATATCCTAGTCCTTTCACAAAATTTTCAAGCATGAAAGTTTCGGAGCTAGCGAGTCTGCGATCAGGCACGCTCGCCGTCAACTTGAGATAGATTTAAATAGATTCTTATCCACTGGAAAGTCCGCGGCAACCAAAGCGGCCACTCCCCCAACAGTCCAAGCGGCGCGAAGCGAAGCGTAAAATGTCGGTCATTCCGGACTTTTAGTTAGAAATGCCATTTTCTCGCTAAATAATGAAGCTAGGACCAAACAAAAAATACTACCGTAAAGCTGATTAAATAAAGAATCCATTACAGAATATTTGGGTCTCTGTAACTCAAAAATCAATTAACTATAGCGGGTAAAACTGACAAAAACGTCAATTAAAAATAAACTTTTAAAATTAAACGCTTTTTTCATAATGTTCATTTGGAAAAAGTTAAATTTCGTTGTACTCAAAGGATAGGAAATTTAACTACCTTTTTAATGGTACCAAAATCTTTTTTTTATTCAATCTGTATCACTTTCAGTAAAGCAAAATCTAACACCCTGTCGACTCCTCACCCACCACGGCTTCGGCCATTTCGGGCGACGGAAATATTCACAAGATGGCCGCCGTTCCTAAGGCTCAATACGGACTTTAATGCGTAGCAGCCGAGTTGGTTACTTCTAAATAAAACTAATTCAATATTTTATATTTTTTTTATTTTTAATAAATATACCTACTATATATATGTATATTATTTATGTATATATATATATCTAATATATAGAATTCTCGTGTCACGGTGTGCGTAATTGAACTACTCCGAAACGGCCCGACCGATTTTCGTGAAATTGATATGCATATTTAGTAGATCTGAGAATCGGACAACATCTATTTTTCATCCCCCTAAATGTTAAGGGTGGTCCACCCTTAATTTTTTTTTGGACCAATTATTTTGTTTTTGTTTTTTTATGATACATCATACAAAAATACATATAAACATAAATGTTCACCCTTTTACCAACAACTCCTATATTTTTATGGCGGTACGAAGTTCGCTGGGACATATATATATATATATATATATATATATATATACTAGCTAATATATAATATATTTTGTCTTTATGCAGATGGTCAGGATGTTGGTTGCTTTCTCCTTATTGGGCCGGCCTGTCGCAACTGTCATTAGGTGCAAAATCTGAAATACAGTTATATATTTACTAAAATTAGAAATGCAAGAAAAAATCGCGCCCACACAGAAAAAATGATGAGCAAACAAACCACCTCTTATAAGCAAATGAGTCAAAGTAGACCACAAAACATAGTTAAGAGTAAAAAAAGCTTGTTTTTAAGTTTTTTTATTTTTAGTTATCGATGGACATAATCAAGAACTTCAAAAACCCCACATATCTAGCTAGTTTTTTTTATTTGATACCCATATTATAGGAAAGCATAAAAAACTTAGCAGTATAAAAAAGCGGTATTGAATTAAGTTAACGTCACTTTATTTATCGAGTTATTCTCAGCAAGCCCTTTCATTTGATACCCATATTGTAGCAAAACATAAAAAAACTTTGTCCGCCATATTGGATTTAAAGTGACGTCACTTTATTTATCGAGTTATTCTCAGCAAGCCCTTTTATTTGATACCCATATTGTAGCAAAACATAAAACTTTGTCCGCCACATTGGATTTAAAGTGACGTCACTTTATTTATCGTGTTATTCTCAGCAAGCCCTTTCATTTGATACCCATATTGTAGCAAAACATAAAAAAACTTTGTCCGCCATATTGGATTTAAAGTGACGTCACTTTATTTTTTGAGTTATTCTCACCGAGCCCTTTCATTTGATACCCATATTGTAGGAGTGCATCGAAAATAACCAGTCCGCCATCTTGTATGTTCCGCCATATTGCATGTAGAATGACTTCACATAGCTCACCATGCATTATCATCCAAACTAAACGTGTGTACAAAATTTCAGCTCAATCGAATGAAGACAACTGCTTCAAAATTGAGTTGCAGGATTCCAACCGAACAAACATACATACCATCACACATAGCAATTAAAAAAAATTTCAATATATTTTCCAAAAAGCACTTTTGGTAATAATTTTCGTTCCCAATCTAAAAATTTACAAACGAACAAACAAACTACCACATCATTATAAGCACACACTCCAGATAAAAAAAAAACAATTTAAAATTGTATCTGTACCGACCCTTATTTACTAACAGTACATAGTAGCTATTACGTCATCGGTGATTAATGAGGTCTACCGTTTTCTGTCTCACCAGATGGCGCCACTGTTGAGTGAGGTCCTAAATTGTAACTTTTAAAGTTTATTAATACGCACATGAAATCAAAGGTTACATTTAGATCGTATTTTAACACAAAAGAACCATATCCTAAACATAATAGGCCATGCCACAGTGACGCGCAGTTCCGTTTTATTCGGAAAAAATGAGAACTTAATCATTTTTCTAAGCTCAATTTTTTAATAACTGACATTCATTGCCACATAACTCATATTTGCCATAATTAAGCCGAATCGTTACCAATTATTCACAACATTATTTTAATAAGAAATAAACCCGCGTAGTCAACCAACAAGCATAACATTTGACATTTCGGAGACCTCACGCTACACTAGCGCCTCTAGCGGCGGATTCATACGCGATAGCCCTCATTGGTAAACAATGAACAATACCCGTCACAAAATACATGAATCTCGTGCTAACTTACATGTTTACTTGATTTTAACTATTGAAATGGGTTATTTAATTAATAACGCGACGTAATTTATCAATAATCAATAACAATTTATTATTTAACTATTAATTATACGCCATTGAAATCCGCCGAATGTTTATTTTTTTCTATCAACAAATCTTCAGGTTAAGTTTATAATTTTCAGATCATTTTGCTCGTGATAATCTTTTGAAAATATGAAAGCCTGTATTATCACAATTATCTGGTTATATAAAATAGCAAAGATAAATAGGTACTTACGGCATTATATAAGATTAAAAACTCCAATATTTCACATAAATTCCGGCTAAACGTCACGGAAAAAAGATGACAGTTTAATATTTTTTTAATTCTTTTCCAAATCAGATTAAGCGGGTCTCTCACTACTAGGAGGTCACAGATTAAATAATCTGTCCAAATAAAGCATCCATGAGCAAGGCAAAGGTCTTTTTAGGCGTAAATTAAAAAAACAAAACAGCGAGCGGCGCGGGAAATTGATATTGGCTACTAGAGCTGCCACGGACTGTTGAGGTCTTTCTGCGACCGGCAGCTCTAGTAGCCATGGACTGTTGAGAGGTAGATAGTGATTTAGATTTATTAGTGGAAAATCCGTTCGAACCGGCATCCACTATGTCTTACGACCTAGATGTTATATATAAGGCCCTTCGCCCAGTACCGGAATTCGACAGAAATCCAAATATTTTAACTAGATTCATAAGAATATGCGACACCTTAGTAACTCAGTATATGTCACAAGAGGCAGGTAGCGAGTTTAGCAACTTATGCCTTCTTAATGGTATTCTTAACAAAATTACCGGGCCTGCCGCCACGATAATCAACTCGAACGGCATACCAGACTGTTGGAGCGGTATCCGTGATGTTTTAATTAATAATTTTGCGGATCAACGTGACGAAACCGCACTTTATAACGACCTTGCGTTAGCTTCACAAGGGCAAAAATCTGCTCAAGAGTTCTATGACCACTGTCAAAATTTGTTTATACTTCGACTTTTTATTAGCTGCAGTAAAATGACGTTTCAAAATGTCATTCTGTAAAATAATGTAGACAGCCTAATTTCAATAGGGATGTGCTTAGGTTCACAGAAAATCTAATCGTTCCATAAGTAACTCATAATGATCATACTTAATTCTATTTATTATTCATATAAATAAAAGGCTGTATAAAATCTCAAGTTGGTACTGGTTTTTAGTTACGGTGCTACGATGACGCTTGTCCGCCATTTTATTTTATTTGTCAATCGCTCATTCGGCTTCTAACTTCTATTTTGAATGCACGAATAACTTTGCTTTGCCCACTGCGAGTTGTTTTAGTTATCTTTATTGTTAATTTTTTGTAACGTTGTGTTTGTTTTTCGTTACCTACTTATTTTTGTTAATCGTGTCAGATTTTTTTGTTTGTTACATCGAAGACATGGATGCTCAGTTGAGCACATCACAAGATGGAGATACATTTTTTTTGTTTGAGAAGTTTGTTTTTATATATCAGGAAGTACTTGGCATCTTTACCAAATTAATAATTGGGATTTGGGACGATCTCGTCAAAAACTGATGGAAACAAAAAAAAGATATAAATAGGTTACGCATCTCGGATTATACAATAAATGAGAACAAAATCTTCACAAAACAGCCGAGTGGATAATTACAACCTCTTACCAAAACCGAAATTAATAACTGTTATAATATATAATTATAAATAAGACGACTGTTTGGCTCAGCAATTTTATAATATCGACGTACTGACAAGTATAGACTAAGGACGACAGACATAGACTAACTACTCATATAACATCCCCCTTATTAACAAGAATGTAAATTAATAAATTAAAATAAAAAGTATTTTGTCACCGACTGTACTAACTGAAACAATTAGTTACTTTACGTATAGGAGAGCATTAGGTCAAGTCTATAAATTAAGTCTTTCTGGTCGCCTAACAATCCTACCACTCCTAGTACGCGTATGACTACATCTATTTCAAACATAGGACCTGAAGTTGAAGGTGAACTTGATGGTGGAGGAGATATAATATGTTGTCTGTTTCTTCTCAACGACGTACCATCTCTTCCTTCAATCTCAAAAGATCGCGGTTCTTCATATATACTTTTTATTTTTCCAGGCATCCAATTACTAGATGGATTCTTTTTGTAAAATATATCTTGACCTACCTTGACATCTGATAAGACTCTTGTTTTTCGATCGTAATATGATTTAGATTTCACTGCATTC